AGTCAATCTCTGGTTTTCTTGCTCATGAGGGAATAAAGAGATGTTTGCTTCCCCGAGGCCTGGGGAGAATGACTGCCCAGACCATGATTACAGGCTGTTTCCTTTGCTGGCAGTGGGTCTGGTAATGGATATTTAGCTGATTCACCCCAGATGGTTTGTTCAATCAGTCCTTCTTGTCACATAGGTCTGCCTTCATAAAGTGTGTTCTTATCTGAGTCCAACCTACCAGCCTGGCTTTTTCGAACTGGGCCTAATTACTTATATACTTACTTACCTGGCTCCAAGTTGTATTATAAGAAAGAACAGCAGTCTTTTAAGAAATAATCTCTTATTTGTAGGGTACCTTTCTTTTAAGTTAATGATGGCACTATTATATTTATTGGACCCCTCAGCGCCTTGCTTTTTTGGGTGAGTCAAGAATTGCTTCCCCTCAAGAGGTGAAACTGGGGCAGGAGGATTGTTAGAATCCTAGCAGGGTGCCTGGGGCAAAACCCAGTGGAGGTGGCAGGCAACCAGCTTGCAGGATTCCCCCCAGTCCTCACCCCACTGTGGTTGCTGAAAGTGATAGAACCAGTTGTGGAGCTTCAGGGGAAGGGTTGGATGGGTGTCTGCTAATTTGTTACTCTTTTTTCTCCTCTGTGATATGGGCTGTTGGGGTATGTTGGGGGCAAGGATAGTATTTAGTTACCCCTGTAGTTATCTTTGCAGTCTGCTTGAGTAAGTTCTTCCAGATTTGGTTTTTTGGAAGAGGTGTTTAGCAGGAAGAAGGGAAATTTGCAAAATAGTTGCAAGGTCTCTTAGGGTCAGGACAGCAACTTACTTCCTTCTACTCCTTAGTAGTCATGAAGTAGTTGGCATAATTGAGGTTTTCTAATTGTGTTTTGGTCAAGAACAAATGACTGCTTGCTCCTTTCATTCAACAGATATTTCATGTGTGCCTACTAAGTGCCAGGTGTTATTCAGTGTGCTCTTCTGGGCCCTGGGAGGAGCAAAACTCCTTGTCCCTTAAGCATATTCACTGTATTTGTAAGGGGAACCCTTGTTCCTTCTTACCTGAAAGCTCT